CAGCTGACAGGTCCACCTGAGGTATTATATGGAGTGCTGGCCCTGTGCAAGGAATTGGGTTCCATTTGAAAGGCATTACAGTAATTTATACTTAATTCCCACAGCAGCCCTGTGCAGTCGATGCTATTATTATCTCGGTTGTACTGATGAGGAAACAGAGACTCAGAGAAATGAGATGAACTGCCAGAGTCACACTGGTGGATGGGTGTATGGGTGCCTCTTTGGGTCACCCCACCCCCATAATTTTACGAGTCTTCACACCATCCTAAACAGTGATGTGCGTCCACAGGTTCTGCCCCAGCACACACTATTTCTACAGGATCCAGGCCAGCAGTGGCTCCCAGATAGGCAGGAAGCAGAGAGCAGCTAGGTGAAGGGCCTGGCAGCTGTCCCGCTTTTGTGAGCTGGACTAAGGTGCACAGCCTTTCTGCTTCTCAAACGCCCCATCTATAAAAAGGGGTGATGAGGGCGCCACTGTGGACAGGCAGCCAAGGGCAGTGATGGGTAACCTCGGAGTCACACCTGGGTCTGCTCCCATTGGCTAGGTGACTGTGGGACTTCTCAGAGCCTTAGTCTTTCCCTGGTGAAATGGGAGCACATGGTGGGGGTTTACTGCCAGCCAGGAGTTAGTGGCAGCTGTGGTGCTCAGGGTGGCCTGACAGAGCAAGGACCAAGATCCTTGGACTCTGAATCTGGTGTCCCACCTAGTGCCTCAACTGCTAGGCCTCGGAGCGCCGGCTGCCCTGAGTCAGGTGTGCAGGGGCCCCTCCCCCCACCCAGGCTCCCCAAAGCCCAGGCTTCCTGTCTTCCCCATAGCCACTTGTAGCCCCATGGGACAGCCATACTCTGGCCCCAGCACAGCCCCCAGGATGGGCGAGGAAGGAGCCCTGGCCACCTCTGTCCCAACACGTGGGTCTTGTAGCCAAACAGCCCGGAGGAGGATGGCAATGGCAGACCTGCGGGACACACTGCCTGCTTTACTCCAGCACAGAAAACACTCATTAAGTGTTTTAGGGGACAAGGGCAAAAAGAAACACTCTTGAAATAGAAATAGTTTCCAAATGAGCCGTACAGAATCTGTGGGGAAGTCTGGCCTGAAAGGGGGGCTGTTCCCTGGTGGCAGGGTGGCAGGGGGAGAATGTGGAAAAGGATGGAAGGTGGGGGGCCAGAGAAGGGGCACAAGAGGAGAGCAGGGAGCCCTGAGCCTCTGTGGCCTGCTCCCTGCCACTGTCAGAAAACCCCAAACTGGGGGACAGCTTCTTGCTCCCTCGAGCCTCCTCTGCCCAGCAAGGCTCAGGGCCTGGTGGCTGTAGCAACAACCACTCAGGCAGTGGGAGCAGAGGCCACAGGAGTCAGGAGGCTGGAGCCCTGCCTGCTCCTTTGCTGACCACCGGATGGCCCTGGGCCTGGCCCTGCTCTCTCTGGGTCTCCGTGACCCTCCTAGAAAAGGCAGTGGTTCTGCTCAGGGGAGGCCAAAGGCCCTGCCAGCACAACACAGAGTGCCCAGCGATGCTGACAATGCGAGCAGAGGCGGTATGCGTGCCACTAGCAGAGACGGCCTTCTCCAGGCCCTCCAGCCCTGCCCAGCTAGAGAAGTGGCTGAACTCAGGTCATCTGGACCCAGAGCGGCCTGAGGCCTGAGGTGCTGCCTGAGCAGGAGTGGCCCACCCTCTAGCACCACTGAGCCTTCTGGGTGGCCTCACAGAGTGCTCACCAGTCATGGCAATGCCCTCATGCAGCCGTGGGCTCCCTAGGCTCAGGAGCCTATGCTGCAAGGGCTTCTTGCTGTTCTCCTTGCTCACATCCTGATAGGATATTTGTTAGCATTGAAGAGCGGAATGGAGGAAGGAAGGGAGTACTGGGCAGGAGACTGAGAGACAGAGACTGAGAGACAGGCACGAGGTAGTGCCCTCCCCTGAAAGCCCTGTGACTCAGAAACTCGAGGTGCCACATCAGCTCACAGGCCAGCTGCACAGAACTGCATCCCTCCCTGATGCTGGTCCCTGCCCTGTCACGGCTGGGTCCCTCCCTCAGGGAGCCAACTGTATAGCTGGAGAGGAAAACTCAGGCCTCTGTGGGCAGATGTCCTCACTGTGCCACATGGCCTTGAGGTGATCTCAGCTGGAGTACCTTAGAGGGCAGGGTGACAGTCATGGCAGGGGGTGTCTGCCATGCCAAGGCTACAATGGCAGGGTGGGGTGGGGGCTGCTCCATGGAGAAGCTCTCCTTTAGTCCTTCCCTCTCTTCCTTCCCTCTCTTCCTTCTTCCTCCAAGCGCCCATCCTTCTAGAAGCCTGACCCCTGCCGTGGGCTGAGAGGGCACGGCCAGCCCATCACCCCTTTCCAGTGCTTTGTCATGCTCAGAGGACTTCTGGCTCTGGGGCTGGTGGTCTGGCCACCTTCCTTCTCTGCTCACATGGTGGGCACTGCCCAGACACTTTCACTCCCACCCAATCCTGTTTCTTGGTGATTAGGGTCAGAGACAAACTTGGGCCAATTTCCATCTGAGCCAGTATCTCATGGCTGCTTTCCCATTTAATATCAGAGAAATTAAACCTGGCCACGCCGTCATTATCCTGGTATTGTAATTAGCACCAGAACAAATTGCCCTGAGTGGTACCGACTACTGCGTTAGTGCCCAGCTCCAAGCAGGACGTGCGTTGCACTGATTGCTTTGGCCTTAGCTCTGTAACCTCCTATTGCCTGCCCAGTGCAGATGGGGGAAGCAGGAGACCCCCACACCTGTGTGTATGTCCTCATCGCTACCTGATCACAGAAACGAGAGTGAGGCCAGAGGGCACAGAGGAGTGGGAGGGAGTGACAGTGCCCCAGGCGTGGTCAGAGCGAGTGAAGAGGCCCCAGCCTAGCCAGGAGGAAACTCAGTCTCTGGGATGCCGGCCTTTTGGGAGACTCCAGCTCTCTGCCAGCTGGAGGCTACAAAACACACACTCCTGACTCTCCTAGGTGGGTCTCTAGCACACTGAGGCCAAGGAAGAGAGCAAGAAGGAAGGAAGACTGGGGTGGAGGGGCAGGACCCTTTTCCTCCTCCTGGGAAACCAGGCAGGGGCAGGTGAATCTGAGAGGCGTGTGGAGTGAGCGAGTGCAGTTTTGGAGGAGATGAGCTCAGACCTTTGTGGCTGTTCAATGGTGTCTGATTTCAGGAAAGTAAATTCAGTGGAATTAAAAAGCCACGAGATGTGATGGGACAAGGGGAGGCAGGTGCAGGCGTGAGTGCAGGAGAATAGGCTTGGGGAGAAGTCCACCTTCAGGAGCAGGTGGCAAGGCTGCTGGCAGGATGCCAGCTTCTGGGTGCTGCTTGGCACCCAGAACAGCTGGGCCTGGGGAGAATATGCCAAAAAGGTATCCTGACCAGGGGGTATAAAAACGAAAAGAAAGAGTCAAAACCAGGCCTAGGGGGTTGAAGGCCCAGATGGGAGTTTACAGGGCTGCAGGCTGCCGGGGATAAATGGTGTTTCTCCAGAAGCCAGATTTGACCATGGGGACTCAGGGACATGCTCTGAAGCTAGAACCCCATGCTTCATGCCTGCATTCAGTAGAAGAGAAAATCCTCTGCCAAATGGTGAAATAGCTTTGGGTCAATTCCTATTAGCAATACAGAAAGTCCTATGACCACATTAAAACACCCCTTCACAAGGACACAGGTCTGAGCAAGTAGAAAACCAGGAGCTACCACGTCACCTCCAAGGGAGACAATGCCAGGGAGACTGACAACAAGGCAAGGTGCCGGAGAAGCAGCATCTTTGCAAATCAGCATGTTCCTGGGCAGGCTCAAGTGTCATTTGCTAATGAACTTGCTAAACCACAGACAGTTATTTCTGGAAAGTAAAGGAGAATGGAAACGGCTCGAGGGCTGGGGCTGGGTGGAGCCCATAGCTGGAGAGCCTTGTCTAGGCTGTCTCAGCCTCCACTCTGAGACAGCTCTGGGCCTGCAGACACCATCCAGGCCAGTGGCCTCTCTGTGCTCCATGGCATGTGCAACTCTTTTCTCCCCAAACACACGCCGTGGAGTTGGGGGGCTTGCTTCCCCATCTGCCAGGCCCCTCCAACCACACCCTCCAGATCAAAGAGGTCCTCAAACCACCCCTGCCCAGGGTTTTGCTAACTTGTGGGAACCTGGTGGGAAAGGCCTCAGGCAGCAGTGCCAGAGCAGAGGCAGTAGAAAGAACTCAGGGTGATGGTGCCAGGCGCACGGGGCATTGGTTCTACAAAGAGCAGCTGCACATCAGAGCGTACACTTTGAAAAGGACCTAGGTCCAGCCTGACTGGCTGGATCCCTCAGACCTTCCCTCCCACAAGGTAGCACCCTTCACTGGGCAAGACAGCTGGGCGATGACACCTAGTCGGCCAGACACTGGGTGGGCCTCCACTTAGACCCACCTGTGGCTCAGCACTATTGTGCACAAGCACCACGGACAGAGATCTGGGTGTCAGGCCACACTGCCGCAGGAATGGCCAGCACTCCCAGCATTCACCATGTGCAGATCTCACAAATTGATTACCGAACTCCTTCCCCCATAGCCAGAGGTTCCTCCTCTTCCAACAGCCGTGCCTATCAATCCGACGGCACCTGGCATGCCCCCGGAAGCATTTCCCTCACGTGCCTTACAACTAACCCACGAAAGAAAACGAATTTGTAGCTTTTAGCCAACAGGCATGTCATGGTCAGGGACAGGAGGCTCAGTTGTCTTTCTTAACCTCATCAAAAGGAAACTGAGGTACCTTGGAAGCTTGAATCCCCTACATTTCTTTCTCATGCATTGAGCGAGGGCTACACCTGCTACCAGGCATCTCCTCTTCCTGGCACCTGACAACACCTGACCAGCCACCAGGATGGGCTCAGCATACACAGCTGAAGTCTCTCTAGGAAGCACACCAGGGCTCTCAGCCCAAAGCCGCGCGGGACCCCGTGCCCCTTGGTGCCCTCCGCACACCCTTCCCAAGCACCAGTGACAGAAGAAGAATCCAGTCCCAGCCACCTACCTGAAGGAGCCAGTAGCACCTCCGGTGGAAGGTGGGGATGATGGAGGAATGGACATAGCAGCCGTACAAGCACTAGGGAGAGAGGAAAAACGAGAATCAGTTGGAAAGAGGGAAGGAAGGAAGGAAGGAAGACGGCGCAACAGAGAAGGAGCAAGAAGGGGCCATAGCTGCTGCCAGTGACCCAGAAACCAAGGCGCCTGTGCGTCTGACCCCAGCTCCAAGACTAAGGTTCTGGGTCAGCACCTAAGAAGCACTGTGGGGACACACCAGCTAGCGGAAAACTGGGATGGCAGCTGGGGCCTTACGCTCCTGGAGGCCACCAAGGCACTGAGAGCCCAGGACAGCCAAGGAGCAGGGAAATGCCCACACATGTACATCTGCCTATAATTTTAGAGGCCAGAAGTTGCTCTGTAGTTCATTCCTAGAGCCTAGGTTAAGACCTTTTGTGTACAGGGAAGGACTGAAGGTTTCAGAATTGATCAAAACACACCAATACACACGCTCCAGACCTTTCCTGGCCAGGGGGGAGTACCAGGCCCGGCCGGGCAGCCCTGGCTGACACGAGCCCAAAGCTATAGGGGACAGGGTGGGGTAGGGGGACGGGGTGGGGTGACACTTCTTAGGATTGCTCTCTAGAGCCTGAGAGACCCTTTTTACACATCCCTGATTGTTCATTTTGAATGACAGTTTGTTTATTCATATATATATTTTTAAGTATAAATGTGCATCTTTTACAGATGCATTTGGTTTTGGAAAACAGCCAGAGGCAGGCTGCAGGATAAGGTGGGTGCAGATTCAACTGTCAGGAGGATGTTTCTCAAGGGTCCTATCACCCAGATGTGGGTGGGTGGGGACCTCAGGGCCAGCAAGTTTGTGAGGAAGGCCACGTGGCTCTGCTTCTGGGGTGCTGCTATGCACACAGAGCCCTGCGCGGTGGGGCGGGCTTGCAGGTCAAAGAATAATCGATCAGGGCCCTTTCCCACCAACTGGAGGCCTGAGTGGGAGGGAGGGGCCCAGCCCGGGTGGACCATCAATTTGGAGAGAGAAATCTCAGGGCATTCGATGATGGGGGCCCACACCAAAGCCAGGGCCAAAACCTTTTCTTTTGGGGCCTCCAATTAATTCCACACTGGAATGATTTCCCTTCCATTGGCTCTGTACTTGCCTTTTAGCTTGGTGGGGCAGAGAGTGTCCACAGAGCCATGCAGGACGCCCGGTGGGAAAAGGCCTCTGTCCACTTCCCCTAGCTCACATTAATCCCACTGTCCTCCCCCATGCCCTGACACGTGCTCTCCAGAGAGAAATGCCAGCACTTCTGCATTTAAAGCTTTCATCGGATATTATTTACACTCCCAAAAAGACCAAGTGCAATTTGGTTTGACTAGGAGTCTGTGTGAGCCCTGCCTGTCTGATTACCAGAGTTGAAAGAGAAATCATTTTGGACTATGGGACTCTGGCTGCAAGAAAATCAGATTTCAATATGTTAGAACTTTTACGGATTGCTGTCATCTGGGACTTAAGCCCTGTATAAACCGAACAAACAAAGAGGAAATTAATTTAAACGATTCCCTTGCAATTCTTGCTCATGAAATGTATTTATTATTAAGAAGGCAATATTCTTTCTTGACTTTTCTGGTTTCCAAGACACTGTGTTTTGTTTTTGTTGTTTTGGTGTTTTGATGACTCCTCCTTGCCAAAGGAGACTCAGGTCTGGATATTTCTGCAAGCGTTTGGGCGTTTGGTTTCCACAAACAAGCAACCCACCTGTGGCTCAAGTCAGCTCTTTTCCTTTGGGATTTGCATGCCTGCAGGCAGTGTCATTGCTTTGACTAATGCAGTGAGCCGAAGGGAGGGAGACAGAATTCATTGAGAGATATTTCTCTTGTCCTTTGAAACCAAAGGTTCCACCTGCTCTTTCCCTCACTTTATTCCTCTTTATGCTTTGCAGCCACCTGCCCTCTTCGCCTGTTGCATTCTCCATCCACTGCCTTTTCTCTGACTCAGAAGGAACATGGTTGATTTTCACCATTGCTTCCCGCGCGATTCGCTGCCTGCCTGTCTTTAGGGCTCCAGTACCCTGGACCCCACAGCCAGGAGTTGGCGAGAATCTGCCAAACCCCTACTCTGTCTCCTATATGAAAGTACGAAGGAGGAGAAAGCATGGGCCTGCTTTCCCCAGAACTATTCCGACACCTCTCTCACTGGCAACCTGGCCTCCCCTGAACCACCCGGAACAATCCCATAAGCAAAGTGGAGTTAAAGAGAAAAATTGCCATTTCTACATCCAGGCTCATGCATTCTAATCAGAGGAACCCTTGGGACCTCGCTCAGAACCTAGTTGCTCTATTTTTAGATATTCCTTTAGCCACCATAGTGATCCCACGTCTCTGGTCTCCTCCGATGAGAAGCGCAATTTCAGGAAGGCCGGAGGGGAGGCGACTGTGGCTGGAGGCTGACCCCTGACAAGCTCAAACTGTGACAAACGGCACCAGAGGAGGAAAGTAAATATACCAAGAGCCCCACGGACTTGAGAGGCCTGGGGATGTTGCACTCCTTCCCACTCTGCCTTGCTGAGCACACTGGGTCAGCCCTGTGGTTTATTTACCTGTCTGACTTCCTGAGCTGGGGGCTCCTGAGAGCAGGAAGCCTATGACTTTTTGAAAGAAAGTGGCCCTATTCTCCCACCCTGGAAGCCCCAAGACACAGGTCTCTATGGTCTGGTGCAAGGAAGGACTCAGGGGACAGTCAGTATTTAACTTTTGCTTGTGGCACCCTGAAAGCTAAGGACTTCTAATACATACCAGAAAATGACCCTGAAAAATGGTTCTACATTTAGGCTTAAAGGGTCAAGCTTCAGTTTCAAGGAAAGGGGACTTGTGTGGAGTGGCTGGTTTGCTGTCCCTGCAGGGAAAGAGGCTTACAGGAATATGCTCCCACTGAAGGGCTTGCAGAGAGGTGGATCTTGCTTGGGGTGGGAGACATGGTTTAGAGCTCAGAGGGTCCTTGTCCTTTCTGGCTGTAAAATGGGTACAATCCTAATACTTTCCTTTAGGCTTGCTGTGAGGGCTGAGAGCTGATGTGGCAATGGGATGCTTAGGATAGTCCCTAGATCCATGTGCAGCCACATCAGTTACTGTCACTGGAGCAGGTAGGAGAGGGGAGTCTGAGGAGGCTGCCAAGGCTTGAGCAGGCACGGCCCAGGGGAGAGAGTATGTCCAGTAGGAGGAAAAGCACATGGAGGAGGACAGGAGGGAGAAAAAGGGTGGGCTAGGAACTATAAAAACATGTAGATGGATTAGAGTATAAAGTGCACAGGGGTGTTAAAAAGGGTCAGATCACAAAAGGTCACAGCAAGGAGGTTGGCTTTAGCCTGGAGCAGTGGGAGCAAAGTGATGTCATGACCACATTTGCATTTGTGGAAGCTCACTGTGGCAGCAGTATGACCAGTATGACCAACAGTATGACAGGGGCTGAGGAAGACTGGGGCACTGCCATCTGGAGGAGGTGGACCTGTGAGTCTGGGAGGCATGTTGGGGCTGGGATGGCAGCAGTGGTAGTGAGGATGGAGAGCAAAAACACATTTGCCAGGTGTAAGGATCACACCCAGATTTCTTGCTAGACAGGTAGGTACATAGCGGTCCCATTCACTGGGACAGGATCCCTGCAGTAGGCTGGAGGGGAAGGCTGATTTCAGATTTCCACTTGGTGACTTTGAGGAGCTCTAAGGCATCCAAGGAGAGATACACAGAGTGCAGGAAGTTGCAGAGATCTGGTGCTCGGGCTGGGCTGGAAACAGCCTGGGCATTGTTAGCGTAGGGACGGTGTCGGAAGCCAACTGGGAGGCCAAGCGGCCCAGAAGCGGGTGGCATACTCAGGCAGGTTTCTGTAATGCAGAGCCTTTTCAGAGCAGGTGTGAACCTGTTGACACATAGAGCATCCAGCCTTACTCAGAGTGTGTGCAACTGGTCTGCCTCCCATGGGCCCCCAGCCCTCTCCCCTTTCATTGCCTCACAGCCCTGCCCTGCTACCATCCCTACTTTGTAGTCCTTTCAGTGGATTCCAGTCCACATGACAATGTCATTACCCAGCCAATTGGGGATTAATTGCACAGTATTTCATGAGGCAGTGTATCAAATCCATTCCCTTCACCCACTGATCAAAAAAGCAATCAAGTTTGTCTGTAATGATTTGTGTTGTACAAACTCCTGGTGCCTTTTGATCAGATTCTTGGGGTCCCCTGGGGGCTTCCTGGATTAAGCTTTTCATCTGGGGCCACGATGTGGTTGAAGGGAGAGCCACATCCTGGGGCTCATGGAGAAATCCACATGTTTGTGAGTGTGAGTTGTATGTGCAAGCGCTTGGGGGCGGGTGTGGGAATGGGGGATGGGTTCCCTTGTTTATGCATGTCTAAAGAAAGAGAAAGAAGAAGCAATTAGAATTTTTTTTTTTTTGAGGCAGTCTTAGTCTGTCACTCTAGGCAGAGTGCAGTGGCATCATCATAGCTCACTGCAACCTCACACTGCTGGGCTCAAGCAATCCTCCTGCCTCAGCCTCCTGAGTACCTGGGATTACAGGTATGCACCACTCCACCTGGCTAATTTTATATTTTTAGTAGAGACAGGGTCTTGCTCTTGCTCAGGCTGGTCTCCAACTCCTGATCTCAAGTGATCCTCCCGCCTCGGCCTCCCAGAGTGCTAGGATGACAGGCGTGAGCAACTAGATATTTATAGGAAACCTGAGAGAACTTTACCCTTCAGATGAAAGCAGCCTTCAAATTAGTTATATTTGGGCAATTAAGGCCTGACAGCTTCCCTTTAACATGGCAGTTGAGCAAAGTAGAATTTTTCTGTAAATACTCAAAATTGCCTTTATGGCATTATGTTTTTTTTTTTTTTTTTAAATAGAAAAGAAAGATGAAATTACAAGGGAAACCAATAGCAAACAGGAGTTCCCTTCAGTTCAAAGGACATGCTTCGCACAAAGAAAGTGACATCATCCCTAAAGGGAGCCTCGTCCACGGAGATCCTCAAATGGGTCTCTCCACAATGGGCTAGGCTGCCATGGGGGGATTG